GCTAGCGTCAATAGTTAACGAGTTATTTGCAAAAAACTGTTTTTTCGTTTTTCGTAAATAACTCGTTAAATATTAATGCTAGCAACAAAATTTTACATGGAAATTGTAGATCTCGTCGTCCCCTACAAAATGGTTCCAAAAATACCCCTCTAAGTCCAACCGTTTGGAAGTTATCGTCAAAAAACGAAATTTTTTTCCAAAAGTTGGCCGATTCGACGGTGGAATGGTCGGATTTCGTCAACATCAATAAAATGCCATATAATCCTATGTAACTCATTAAATATCGAAATTAGAAGATAAATGCACTATTTTTAATTACCGGAAATGCGTTTTTCTAAGGTACATAAACTTTTGGTATGTATAGCCAATACATGCTTAATCGACTTACGAGAGCCGCCGTGATGATCGGAGTGCTGATCTTCGGGTTTGCATTTATAATTTCTTTAATACGCGGCACACCCTGAGTAATATTCATGGACGCTACACCAGCGAAGTGAAACGTTTTCAAAGTCATCGAAGTGCCAGGTTCCCCGATACTCTGCGCAGCGAGAGCACCCACTGCTGTTCCCGGTTCTATCTTTGCTCTCATGAACTTCTCTTTACACGTGTGAATGAATTCGACCAATTGAGACACGGTGAGCCGCTCGAGTTGTAGAACCACGGGCACGTTCAACGGCGCGTGATGCCTGAGACGGGCTATTTTCCTTGCTACGCTTTTTAGAAACGCGCTGTAACAATAAAGAGCGATTAAACGAACTGCTTTTAATAAATACAACGATCGTACTTACGACAGTTCTTGTTTGAATTCCTCGCTGAGGCATTCGTATTCCTCGGAATTTAGAAGTTCCACAGTGGCCTTGAGAACGTTGGAAGCATCGAGCGGGTCCTCGTCTTTGCAAGGCGATTTCGCTCTCACGTGATCCAATATTCTTTCATAATCCACCGGACAATCCTTGCCTGTTGAAACAATCGTTAATTTCCCGATACTATCATGAACGACATAATCGTACCTTCCATGTACGTGGGATCCAGGGCGTCTCCGCCGTATAGAACCTGAATGATGTCTCCGACAGAATTGCGAACGGTCATGTCGTAGTGGAGGCAGAGATCCTCCAAACTCTTGACCAATCGCCTCTGCATGTAACCAGTCTCAGCGGTTTTCACCGCAGTGTCTACGAGACCTTCCCTTCCTCCCATCGTGTGAAAAAAGAACTCCGTCGGCGTCAGCCCGGAATAGAACGAATTCTCTACGAACCCTTTGGCCGCCGGGATCTTCGAGTGTCGTTCAAAATGCGGCAAAGCCCTGTCCTCGAAACCGTTCGGTACCCTGCGCCCGTTAATCGCCTGCTGACCGACGCAAGCGATCATTTGAGAAATATTGATGAAGCTTCCTTTACTGCCGGACAAGGCCATGACCAACGGGCTGTTGCTCGGATGTAATTCTTTCAAACAAGCTTTACCGGCGTGATCACGGATCACCGACAGCTCTTTCAGTATCATAGCCTCCAACGTTTCCTCCTGCGTGCAACCGGGCTGGCACACGAGGCGACCGTCTTCCATTTGACGAATGTACTCGGTACACTTGGAATACCCGGCGTTTAAGAGTTCCTGTTTAGCTTTAAGAAGTCCCTGACCCGGTGTCACGTCACCAATCCCGATGGAGAATCCTCTGTTCATTAAAAAATAGCTAGCCATTCTCGCCAATCGCCACATAGCAGTGGTCGCGATGTCCTCGCCCCAGTCGCGCAGCAAAATGTAGAATATATTCTGCTTGGATCCCGAGCCTAACGTCGATTTATCCATAGACCCAGCCAACAGTTCTGAGTTCCGAACGATAACATCTGTAATCGATCGCGTTCATTAGCTTCGACGTAATTTCGCGATGTAAACATGGAACACGTACAGGAATCATTGATGCACAATTCTTTGTTACTGGTATAAGCTCTCCCTTTGGTCTTCAAGTTGGCTCTCACGTTGCAGCTCTTGTTCGGTCTTAGAATTAAACTGAAAATCTGTTTCCCGGTCCATAACTGAGTCGGTTTTAAAATAGCCGGCTCCGGGAGATTTACAGACATCGCGAGATCGGGTCCTGCTATGAGGCAACCAGCCAACTGGTTTGCCTGAGCTCGATTAAAAAATACATCCTTCTGTGTCAATAGATAGCCGCCAGTGATGAAATCCTGTGTCGCTGCTATCAGTAATTCCCCGTTGCGAGGTGTGACCAAATTTGATTTATTCTGCAAACACGAGGGAGCGATTTTTAATACGATACCTACAACGATTGTTGATAGAGATGCGAATTAAATTACCGCCATTAAGACCAGAGCCTCGGCTCTCGCTTCTTCGGTCTGCAACTGGTGAACGTTCATCTCGTCACCGTCGAAATCCGCGTTGAACGGAGTGCAAACGCATTCGTTGAACCTGAACGTTCTGTGCTCCAATACTTTCGCCTTGAGTGCCATTATACTTAATTTGTGCAGCGACGGTTGTCTGTTGAACAAAACTACATCGTCGTCCCTCAGATGCCTCTCGACGATGTCGCCGTACTGCGAAACGGCATCGTTTCAATCGACGTCTAATGACATTTTTAAACGATCTAATTACCTGCAAGTCCTGCGCGATCTTTTGCCGATTTCCGTATCTGAGATACTTTTTAAAATGCGTCTTCCCTTGTTGTACGAAGTTCGCCCCAGGGTGCATGTCCGGGCCGTTCCTCACGAGCTTCCGCATCAATTCTATGTTCGACGGATTGACTCTCTCCGGGTACGTTAATATTTTCGCGACGTGAATAGGTATACCGACTTGCTCGATTCGGAGATTAGGATCCGGCGAGATGACCGTACGACTAGAGAAGTCTACGCGTTTCCCAGACAAGTTACCACGAAATCTACCCTGCTTCCCCTTCAGTCTCTGAACCAGTCCTCTCCCAGACTTCTTCGGCTGCGAAGCATTTCGTATGTTAATGTAAAGACAAAAGCAAGGATCGTAGCTCGATCGTGGGATGAACTGACTTGCATGTTGAGCGGAATACCGGTCATTTCGCTGTTTATATAAAGAGCGCAATGCAATTGTAGAAATTCCCAGTCCTCGTTGTACATCTGCACTTTGGCTCCGCTCTGCCGATGCTTCTGAATCACATCGTTAATGAAAACTATCTCCGACAGCTTCATCGTTAAATGATCTTCCGTCGTGCCGGCTTTCAAATCAGATACGACGCTCGGCCTGATGCAAATCGGTGGCACAGGGATCCTCGTTAATATCAAATCCTTCGGCAACGCGCACTGCGAGTTCATCATCAACAGAGGAATGTCGTGTTCCGGGATCTTCTCGAGAATACTTTGCACCTTTGATTAAAAAATCGATGTAACCTCGTGCTCTGTAATTCCTCGTCATCCACTTACCTCTATAGGGTTCAACACGTTGATCAGTCCGCTTTGAAGTACCCCTTCCAGCGCTTTATTGTCCTCGAGCACGTTACTGTACTCCGCCAACTTCTCCTGTACGACCGCGTCGATCTTCTTCTTCGATCTGTACTTCTCATGGACGATTTTCAGCAAGCCGACCTTTTTCACTATTCCGTTGAGATCTCCGCAGTTCTGGCAGACCGTAGTCTTCTTGGCTTTTTCCAGAATCTGTTTGCGCAGTGCTTTGCGTGCCAAGTAGCCCAAGTTGGGATTCAGTACTCTGATCAAATAGTAATCCTTATCGGCTTCAGACAACATGACGTGCGAACAGTTCTATAAAAAATTCAGATCAGTTATGGTTATTAAATAATTAAACCGCGGATTTTATGCGTTCACGGTACCATTCCATCTGAAGGTATAAAGAGTACTAGACACTAGAAGATGATCGCGATGTTTAAATGAAGAAATGCATCGTTTCGACTGACACAAAAATCCGCAGTATAATGACGGTACAAACGGACGAGAAATTACTTTGCACACAGTCTGTAGGATCCCGATAACGGATCTAAAGTAGCCGACGTGGAAAACGGGCAACTCTAAGTCGATGTACCCAAAGTGTCCTATGCATTCGCTCAAGCTTTTACCGCAGGACACGCAATTCGTCGTGTTGTTGCAAGTCCCCTAGAATTTGACATTGATTTAATCAGAGATTCTATCATCGTGCGTCAGTGCAGTCGTTACCATTCTCCTGTCGAGGACACCGTAAGGTACCGGCGTGTGCTCTACGTCCTGGTTGTACAGATTCTTAGCCACGACGTGGATATGGGCCTGCCTCTCCATGTTGTGGCGACTGTCCACTCCGAAGGACACATGGGAGCTGTAGAGTGTTAAGAATATTAGAAGAGAGGAATAGAAACGAAGAAAGATTAATCTAAATATTACATACATCTTCCGAGCTACGTCGGTCTCCCTGAACTGTTCCTTCACCATCGCGGAGGCTATTTTTCGTATCCTGTAATTGTCAGATTCCTCCTGCGAGATTATTTACACGTTCCTCTGTAACATCGAACGAACGAACGAAGTCTCGACCATTCTCAGAGTAATTAATCATCTATGTGAACATTTTGTAAAAGAATTCGAAGAATTCTCGAGACACGTGTTGCACTCCCGAATATCTGACAGGTTAGAATTCACTCTTCACGATCACAGGTTCCTCTTCGGATTCTTAATTTGATTAAACTTTATCAGACGTTAAAATCTTGTCTAGAAACTATGTACATTTAATATTTCATGTGATTCTAAAATGCATTCGTCGCACAAACTGCGCACTGTACACCATGATGTAAAAACACAAAGTGGACTGACACTGTGACGTAGACGAAGACACGCTAGGAGGGAAGAGAGGGAGATGTTCGTCCTCTCTCTCTCTTTTAGCCGAACACGACCGGAGTCACTCGACTATCTCCGAGGACTTGATATTGGATTGACGCCGTGGCACCATCTAGCGTAATCGGCTGGAAATACACACTCTGTATTAGGCAAATATAAAGTGATAGGAGGTTCCACTAACTCCTCGTGTGACGTAAGCAACAGGAGTTAGTGGTGCTTCCTTTGATTCATATTCTCCTAATATGAGAAGCGTGATTGGTTAGAAATACAAAATGGCCAACGAAGTGAAGCGTCCGCGATTATATTCTGATTGGTTAGAAATCCAAAATGGCCAACGAATGGACACGTCCGTGATTGGTTGTTCAAATGGATGCGCAAGGGCGTATACGCTGCTGCTGACGTCACACGAGGAGTTAGTGGAACTTCCTATCACTTTATATTCGCCTAATACAAAGTGTATATTTCGAGCCGATTCCACTAGATGGCGCCACGGGCGCCTCGCAATATTACGTGACCACGTGACGTTAATATATCAAAACATCCAGGATGTGTCGGAAAAGCGAGCGTGGATTTTATTGAGTGATAACTTATTTTTAATCGTTTTCCCCCTTTTTTTATTGTGCGCATGTCCTTATCGAATCCTACAACGTTTTAAACATGCCGAGAGTGAGTTTTCCCATTAGCAACAAAACATTAATGGTAGAGGTTAACTGTGTTTAATTCTTGGCACTTAATAATTGGTTTTAGGATATTCGATCTTATTTTCTGTCTGGCAAAGCGAATTCTACTTCGACTTCGACGAAAGCTTCGAAGAGACGAATTATTGCCTCCGACGATGAGGACGAAATATCTCAATCTCCTCTAAAAAAATCCAAGGTTCGTTTCATTCAGTCTAATCGTAGTATTTTCAATGACAAAGTTATAAATTAAACATTAAATTAATCGTGTCGTAGAAAACGTTGCCGAAGAAAGTTGCCGAATCTGATTCTGAGAATGTGTTGAAAAAGAAAACGGTTTCCCCCAGTGATATATTTGGCAAGAGTCCTGTGAACAGAGAGGAGGCACCTAAAGTATCTAAGAAGTTACAAAAGAAGGTAAGACGATATTTAATCCATTTAATCTCGTGCAACGACCACTGAATTTAATTCTGTATTAAAGGAAAGCGAGATCCACAATGACGATGATTTCGAAGCTACGTTGACGCAATTAGACACGTCTGATATCGAAAAGAAATACTTGGAAGAAACTCGTAAAGGTATTAATAAAGATCGTAGTAACACGAGTAACTCTGTACAGTTTTACACAAGTCTTATTTCAACAGATGCGCATGAGAACAAAAAGAAGGAAGCGACTCCAGTCAAAGAGAAGAGGTCATCTTCTAAAAATGCAAAACATAAAAACGGTTCGACCGAAGACGTCGATGATCGTGAGGACAAATCGAAGAAGTCGACTAAGAAGACTGAACTTCCTAACATAGTAGTCGAACATGTAGAGAAGAAGAAAGCATCTCCGAAGAAGCCGGATGTGTACGAAGAAATAATTGAGAAGAAGAAACAGCATTCTGTCATGTATCAGCAATATCTGAACAGAGGTGGAGCGAGGAATCCGGGCTCGAAAGAGGTCCCGGTCGGGGCTGAGAACTGCCTCGCGGGACTGAGTTTCGTATTGACCGGAGTCTTAGAGTCGTTGGAAAGGGAGGAGGCAGAGGAGCTTATAAAGAAATACGGAGGCCGGGTGGTGCACCAAGTGTCGAAGAAGGTCAACTACGTGATAATCGGTGACCAGCCTGGTCCCGCTAAAGTCGAGAAAGCCAGGAGTTTGAACGTGACGCAAATATCAGAGGACGATTTGTTAGAGTTGATTAAAACGAGGCCTGCGGGTCAGGCTAGCAGCGTACAGAAACCTCGTGCGCGATCGACTTCAAAGAAGAGGATCATTTCCACGGATTCGGAAGAATCGTCTCCACCGAAGAAAGCAAAACTCGACAACGAAAAACGATCGCCTTCACAGAAGAGGATCATTTCCACGGATTCGGAAGAATCGTCTCCACCGAAGAAAGCAAAGCTCGACGACGAACAGAAAGAAGCGTCGCGTACCGACGAGAAAAATAAATCTGAGAAGCCGTCGAAAGCGTCGCCAAAGAGAAAAGAGCTGAACAATGAAGATCTGAAGACGAAATCACCGATCAAGGTGAAACACGAATCGAAGAAATTTATCTTAGATAGAAAGGAAACGATGAACGAGATTGCAAGCGTCCCCGTGCAAGCATTGTCCGAGAAATACAGACCGAAGACTATGAAACAAATCCTGGGCCAGCAAGGTGACAAGAGCAATGCTAAAAAGTTGCACAGCTGGTTAATGAACTGGCATAAGAATCAAACTAGCAAAACGAAGCGTACGAAACCTTCTCCGTACGCGAAGAACGACGACGGAGGATTTTTCAAAGCCGCGTTATTGTCCGGTCCACCGGGTATCGGGAAGACCACGACGGTTCAAGTCGTCTGCAAGGAGTTAGGCTTCGATCTCGTCGAATTCAACGCGTCCGATACCAGAAGCAAGAGGCTCCTGAAAGAAGAAGTGTCGGAACTGTTGTCGAACACCTCGTTAAAGAATTATTTCGAAGACAACAAGAACAAGCCGTCTTGGAACCACGTTCTGTTGATGGACGAGGTGGACGGAATGGCCGGTAACGAGGATCGCGGTGGTCTGCAAGAGTTGATCAGTTTGATCAAGTCCACCGACATACCCATCGTCTGCATCTGCAACGACAGAAACAATCCAAAGATGAGGACACTCAGTAATTACACGTTCGACTTGAAATTCGCGAAGCCTAGACTGGAACAAATCAGGGGAGCGATGAAGTCCGTGTGCTTCAAAGAGAACATTCAAATGTCGAACGAAGATCTCGATCGCCTGATCGAGGCGACGAATCAAGATATCCGACAAGTCATAAATCATCTGTCGTTGTTCGTAGGTCAGACCGGCACTCAGGAGAAGTCTGAGAAGAAGCACGCTAACAAAGATCTGAGGCTGGGCCCATGGGACGTCGTGAGGAAAGTGTTCTCCGCCGAGGAGCACAAACACATGAACATTCACGACAAGAGCGATCTGTTCTTCCACGATTACAACATCTCACCGTTGTTCGTGCAAGAGAACTATTTGTCCGTGGTTCCTCAAGGCGTACCGAAAAACGCACTACTGGAGAGAATAGCGATGAGCGCCGAGAGCATAGCGATGGGAGATCTGGTCGAGAGGGCTATAAGGAGTAACAACGCCTGGTCCCTTCTACCGACGCAAGCTTGTTTCTCATCTGTGATACCCGGCACGTTGATGTCTGGTTACATCGGCGGCCAGATCAACTTCCCGAATTGGCTCGGTAAGAATTCGCGAACCGGTAAATTTAATAGACTGATACAAGAAATCACGCAGCATGCACGTTTGACTACCGGCGTCAGCAAAGAAGCGATAAACTTGGACTACCTCAAGCCCCTTCGAAACGCCATCGTCAGGCCTTTGACGTCCAGCGGCAAGGAAGATATAAGCGCGGCGGTCGACGTTATGAATCGTTACCATTTACTCAGGGAAGATTTAGACTCTTTGATAGAGGTATCCTTGTGGCCGGGCGATCGCGATCCGATGCAGTTCGTAGACAGCAAGACGAAGGCAGCGTTCACGAGGGCGTATAATAAAAATTCGGCACCGTTGCCGTACGCGGTGAACGCTACTACCAAGAAGAGAGCGGCCAGCTCGCAGAACGAGGGAGAGGAAGAAGATGCTCTCGAGGAGGAAGCGAATTCCGAAGACGATAACATCGATGCGGATCAGATGATCAAAGCGAAGAAACCGAAAGAGAGCAAGAACGCGGAACCGAAGAGTAAGAACGAAGGGAGAGGCAAGACCAGTAATAAACCGGCGAAACGTGGACGTGGAAGAGGGAAATGAACTCCTAGTATCGGAATGTAACATTTATTTTTGGAATGTACTCGTTAATAAATTTTTTACTTATATATTCTTTCTGCGATGATGGAAGTCCTGAGGAATCTCTAAACGTATTCTTACAGGTGACTTCCACAGAACAATATTACGTCTTATTCGTTCGCTTCAGTTGTTCCTATCGATTCGGTGGTCTCGACAGCGAGCTCCGATCTAGTTTGTACACATTCTGAAATAAAAAGCATGACGTCTCGATTGTGCGCTTATACACGTGTGTAAAAAACCAGTGTTTTATTGATACTTACGCCTTGCCCTAGGTTTCCAACCGATGTATTCGTTGGTCTTCTTGTTCTCTTCAATCAACCAATCGGTCAGCGGTTTGAAATACTCCATGAGCCCCGTGGTGTCCATGTTCCTTTGACCAGTGATCTTCTCCATCGCGTCTTGCCAAGGTTTCGACGAGCCCAACGCCAGCATAGATCTGTACAACGAAAACGATGAATCACACGATCTTTTAATAAGAATTAAACGACGAGAGACTTACTTCAATAGATTGCCAGCTTGTTTGTTGTTATAGATATCGCATTGATGAAGAGATTTCGAGTTTGGATTCTTCGGGTCGTACTGTTTCGCTTCTATACAGAGCGCCTTGTGAAATTGGAATTGTACGATGAAGCTGACGTAGTATCTGATGTATTCCACGTTCGCTATTATATGGTACTTCGCGCCGGGATCGAAGTCGTCTTCCGATCTGTCCACGGGTGACTCGATACCTTGGAACGACTCGGCCAGCTCCCACCTGATCGTCAGAATGCATACTGAAAAAAATGCATCGAGGTGCCCTACGTTTTAATTACAATCACTGACCAATGGCAATTGTAATTGTCAGGCGTGACCGTTCGTTGGAACACGTCCCATCTCCATTTGTCCATCATGTAAGCGAAGGGTAGGAACACGATTTTATCGAGCCCCTTCAAGTAAAGGTGATTGATGTTAGCTTCCTTGTCCGTCGAATCGTTGTCCAACAATCTGTAATATAACTTGTTTATCATCAAGTGTGATTTAGTTGAAAATTATTAATATTAAACGAGACTCGCTTGATGGCTTTCAGATGACTCGGCGTAGAAGCGCTGAGTGCTATGACGTCTCCGACGGCCTCGTGGAAGCCAGGGTTCGCACCCTCTTTGAATATAGTAGGCTGGTTCTTGTATTGCAAGTAATATTCGATGTGACCCATTTCGTGATGGGCAGTAAGCAGATCCTCCATGTTGACTCTGGTGCACTGTTTGATCCTGAAGTCCTTTCCGTCGTAGAAGTCCCAGGCACTCGCGTGGCAGATCATCTCGCGGTCCTTCGCCTTTTCAAGTATCGACCTTTGCCAGAAGTAATCCGGCATCGCAGTGAGATTGATCGACGTGAAGAAATCCTCCGCCACGCGGAATATAGTGGTCGCGTTGTATCCTGTAGGAACGACATTGAAACGTATTAATTTTTTAATTCCAGGAAATAATGAGAATTTACAGACCTTGTTTGATCATCGCGTCGGTGACTTCCGGTAACTGTTTCCCTGGATAGGGGAGAGAGAAGTCCGCGACGTTGCTCCACGTCTGGGCCCACATGTTGCCGAGTAAATGTGCCGGGATAGGTCCGTCCTTGGAGACGACGTCCTCGCCGTATTTTTTACGCAATTCCCGACGGACGTACGCGTGCAGTTGCAAATACAGCGGCTTCAACTGCTGCCAGAGGGTCTCTAAAAATTTACATAAAACGACAGATGGAATCGTTTATTCGATGGTATTTCATGTTTACCGATCTGCGCGGGGAAGTCGTCGGCCTCGTAGTCTCTCATCCAGTAAGCCGCGTTGTCGGTGTAATTGTTCATCGTCGCAGCCATGTTACTCAGCTCGACGTATCTCGCGTAGAGAGACTTCATCTTCTCCCCGGTGGCTTTCCTCCACTGGACCCAGACGTACTTCAACTCTTCAGGGTCCCGACTGTTCATCAACAGCTCGGTCAGCTCCGGTTCCAACGCCAGGTCGCACTTGGTTCTGTTCTTGTAATCGCAGATCTTAGCCGTGCTGTAGATGTTCTCCATGTCGCTTATGATCCTCTCGTATTCTTGATGGAGCTGTCACGTTTCAAGGAATTATAATTAGAATACGTGACAATAAAAATAAAAATTTGTATCTTACATCCTCGGGAAGCGCGGCTATTCCCAAAACGCTGAGCTTCGAGAACTGCCTCTTGAGATTCTCGTCCTTGAGGTCCCTCCAAGGGAACTTGTTCACCTCCTGCCAGGAGGACTTGTAATACCTCGCGGCCTCCGCGGACACGTTCAGCTTCTTCGCTAGATTATCCTGAGTCAAGTCGCTGGCGTAATTCCATTCCGCGACGGTCTGTTTATTATTCCACTCCGCGTACTCCTTGTCCATTTTCTTCAAGAACTCCTTGGCCCTCAGTATGAGGGATTCGTCCGATTCCTTCACGGCGACTTCCGTGACATCGTCGGGAGTCGGGATGCCCCATGACAGCGTCACGAGAGCTGCTAACAGCAACCTGCGAATTTTTCAAAGTCTTCAAGTATTATTTATTCGTGTAATAAAGTCGGTCAAGGATCGGAGAATAAAAAGAAGTACAATGTTTCACGCTTTGCTTTTTACGTTCCAGCTCGCTCGGAAAAACCTGCGCGTGGCTCGAAAATTACGCAAGAAGGATTGGAGAAAAAAAATTGCAAAGGCGAGCCTGATAGAAACGGCGTACCTTGAAAACTATCGAACAAGAAAATGCAGCAGAATGCAACGTAACGATGTTGCTGCAATGAGGAGGGTTGAATTGCGTCGGTGACCACGTAGTGGCTTAATAGCACGGGTGTTCGTATTTTCCAATTGACTAAAATAAGATAACTGGTTCTAACAGTCGCGCTGCAAAACTCTGATATAGGTAAAAGTTGCAAAAGCCGCGAGCAAAGCTCTGCTGCGTCGTAAGTCTTTGTCAATTTTTAACGATCGAAACGAATTATTATAACACAGTTTTTATCTTTTATAGAGCGACCCGGTACGATCTCGTATCTAGTCTGTACAGGAGAATAGATCGACCAGTGCGTAGAGTGGAGCGATTACATTTCCGTTTGATTATGAAATCTAACAAAGACGCGATAATTGAACGTGACGACTCGATCGTTTCCTGATAAATTACCCATCGAGTGTTACGTTCAATCGTGAGTAGTTCGGATTTATGTAACAGATTTTTTACAAAAAAATTAGTACGATCTTGGTTGAAAAATTATAGAAAGCGCAGAAGAGGATACGAATTGAACTTTTCAAGAGCACAGCAGATTTAATTCCCTGATCACTGGCCGGTCATTAGATTAGTCGTGGACGCCTCGTTACCGTTTGAATAGGATTAGATTTGAATTGCAAATATACTTACGGACGCAGCATTCTAGTAGACCGGTCGAGATCGGCGGGATGGTGCGACGATTACGCGACTGGAAGGAACAACTTTCACGGGTTTAAACCAAATAAGAGGTTCGAACAGTCCACCGGCTGGCGAACACTCGATCGAGTGATGTCTCGCCGCGGGTCACGCTAACTTTTATCCCCGGTCCCCACTCTCTTCGATTAGCTTTTACTCCGTGCGAGCAAACGTTCGCGCTGTCACTCTCTGACAGGTTCCACCGTCCTCCGTGTTGCGAACAGATTCTTTCGTCGAAGGAAATCGGAAATTTCGAGTCCTCTGAAGTGGACTTAGAGAGTCTCGCTTTTTTCTAGACTC